TTTGAATAATTTGTCATCAGGAACATATAGATAGATATCATGCCGATGCCCAACATGATGCTTATCTTGTATAAATACAATATAAAACAGATATTCAAGCTAATTTTTCTATTAGGACAAGCACAACAGTAAAATATAAATATCTCTATCTGACTTTTGTATTATATAAATATAGAAGTGTAAACAGATTGAAACATTCAACAACTTTCTCTGCTCTCAAATCATCGCATCGTTTATGTTAAACAGATAGATAGTGAACATTAAAAACGGTTGTGTGAAAAGAAAAAACATAAGCTTGTAAAAAATAATTTAATTTTGTTGAACAAAATACCCTAGTTTTTCACAAACAGTAGTATTTATAGGTAAGTTCAAGAGAAATAAAAATTTCAAGGTATTGCAGTTATATCAACACAAGTTATCTTCCGTCTAAGCTAAAGATTCATTAATCTCACGATTACACTCATTCCATTCAATTGTGAAGGAGTTACTACAACTGAATAAGAAGATCAGGTTTTCCTATTCAATGTAAAAAAATATACCGGAAATTAACAATATTTCCAAGCTAACGCATCATTGTTATCAAAAGAACAAAATTGACTAGAAGTTGATTGAAACAATATTTTTAAACGATTTATATGTAGTGTGTCAAATGTCTATACAAATTATTTGAAAAATTGAGACTATCTAAAGTATCTAATGCATTCTCTCAATATTCTAAATGAGAGAGATAATGCCAACTTTGTCCTAGTTGAAAAAATTCTTCTGTCATGTATTCATTATTCATTCTATAAATTACGTATAAATTAACACGAACAAAACTTCAAAAGATAACTTATTTTTATTGATAATAAATAAAAAGAATTCAATTTGACATCAAAGAGAAAATTAATTTCATGCTGTATGCTCGCTTTATATTTACTTTTATATAATTATTTTATTAGACAATAGTTAAAACAAAAATATAATAAAATTTAATAATTGAAATATTCGAATTTGATAGTAAATCACTGCAATCTGATTAATTAATATTAAAAGACGTTTCAAATGATAATCAATCGTTTCAAGTACAAATTTACGAATAAAAAGAAAAGATATTTTTTTTCTCTAAAATGAAATAAATTATCTAAAACATCATCTGCTCTTTATTGCACCATGAAATGTATAAAGTTCATACTATTAATATGGGTTAGTGTCGTCTTAGATATTAATAATTTTAAACTTCCATCAATAATTCAAATAGGTAAGATAAGACAACAAAATGTTCTTTCTTGACTATTGTTTTGTTTGTTCGTTCATAGGAGCAATATTTGATGAAAAAGACATTCAATCTCGAACTGCATTTGAATATGCAGTGAAAAAAATAAACGAAAATTCAAATTTATTTTCACAAAACACAACAATTGTCTATCAAATGGGAAATGTATCATCACATGACAGTTATTCAGCATATCGAATAGGTATATATTGTTAAATTAAGCTTATATTTGTTTTCTCAACTATCACAATGTTTTTAGTTTGTAATCAACTTCATCAAGGTGTTGCAGCCGTTTTTACAGGATATCTAACACCCGCTTTAGAACATGTTGGCTCATTAACAAGTTTACTTCATATTCCATTCTTTATTTCATCATCCGATCGTCAAACTAAAGTGGATATTTATAATTTAAATGTTTATCCACATTATACTACAACGAGTTTAGCATTCAATGATCTTATTAAATTTCAAGAATGGGACGAATTAACTATTATAATTGAACATGCTGAAAGTAAGAGTTGAAGAATAATGATGATATTTCTTTACATTATGATTCTATTTTAGATTTGTTATATTTACAAGATCTTTTTAGATTACCAGTCGAGACACCGACAATGAAAGTAACTGTTAGACAATTACGGGATAAACCAGAAAAATGGTTACCGCTATTGAAACAATTACAAGAATCAGGTGTCTCGAAATTTTTAGTCGATATTTCAACGGAGCAGTTGAGAAATTTTTTTGAACAGGTAATCGAATCAATACTTTGTCATAAGAAATAAAATAACAAAATTTATTATTTCCTGTGTTATTAGGCGAAAATAGCAGGATTAGTGGGACCCTATTATCATTTTGTGTTAACATCAATGGTATGTCTGTGTTAATTATCGTCGCTTGTGTCTTTGTAGAGAGATATGAATAACAGGAATAGGAAAAAAAAGTTTAAATACAATACAATTTTTTACTGTCCAACACTTTTATTTTTTTTTTTTTTGATAGCTGAAAGACATAAATAATTGAATTTCATAGTGTTTTTGCCCGAATATTTACTCCATTTCTCACTGTCCAAAAAAATAACAATCTTCAGTTCTTTCTTTTGACACCTCTTTCCTTTGACAATTAGGACATTTCAACTATTGATTGGAATAAAATGTTTTTTACATTGGTGAATGTAACTGGATTACGAATTTTTAATGCAAAAGATCAAGCAATAAAAGAATTTTTCAACGTCAACCAGAGTATATTACTTACACACAATGAATCATCAATTCGAGTAAGTGTAGTAGATTATCAAGTATAATCGTCATAAGTATAGAAAATACATTAAAATTTAGACATCAACTGCATTAATGTATGATTCAGTATACTTTTTTGCAAGAGCACTAATAGAATATGTTAAACAAAATGAACTTTATATAAGACAACTTTCATGTGATGCTGAAGAACAATGGGATATTTATGGATTCAAGTTTGCCAGTTTTCTTAAAAGAGTATGTTATTTATTTTATTCTTTTATAATTAGAAGTTTTGTATAAAATCAATAGTTTGAAGTAAATGGTATAACTGGTATTATCAAATTTGATGAAAATGGTTTACGAACAAAAGATTTGAAATTCGATGTGATCGATTTGGCTGATGATGGAGTTCAGAAAGTGAGTATTTACCATTTTCTTTTATAATTGATTAATTGATAAGACTTTTGTTGTATCAGATAGGCACATGGACATCCAGTTACGATTGTGTACGATTAAATATTCAACGTAATTATACGAAAGATTTTGAGATACGAAAACATGAAATAGAAAATCAAAATTTGAGAGTTATAACAATTATAGTAAGTTCATTCTATCGAAAGAAAGATTTTTACTGATGAAAGAGCATTTTCATTTCATTAAACTGATCATAGATGTTATTATCACTTTCAGGAGCCGCCATATGTTATGTTAAACAGTAAGTTATTTTGTTTGTATTTTTAAAATATTATGTCCGATAGTGTGGTGTGGTACTACTTTTGTGGATTTTTGTTTTCTACAATGTAGATAGTAGTAGTAGTTATACGAATGAAACAAAGGATTTTTTTGGTTTTTGTATTGATATTCTGAAAGAATTATCTATTCGTTTAAATTTTACATACGAAATTTCGGTTGTTGCCGACGGAACATTTGGAAAACGAAATGACAGTGGAAAATGGAATGGTAAAACATTTTGTTTTTATCTACCTTTTTTATATTTCATGTGTGTTTAGGTATCATTGGTGAACTTGTTGCAAGGCGTGCTGATCTAGGTTTAGCCGGCCTAACAATAACATATCAACGTGAACAAGTCATCGATTTTACTAAACCATTTTTAACACTTGGTATTAATATTTTATATAAAAAACCACAAAAAAAAGCTCCGAATCTATTTTCATTTTTGGCACCTTTAAGTGTCGAAGTATGGCTCTATATGATCGTTGCTTATTTTGGTATGAAACTAGTCAATCAATTTAAAATATAAATAATCTCAATACTTGACTTTTCCTGTATTTTAGTTGTTAGTTTTATTTTGTATATTGTTGCTCATCTTTCACCATACGAATGGAGAAATACACGTCCCTGTAGAAGAAGGAATATAGAACTAGAAAATCAATTTACATTGTTGAATTCTCTATGGTTTATCATTGGAAATCTGATGCAACAAGGTTAGAAACATAAAACTTCTAAACAGTCTCAGAGTATCACAAATTATTTCTCTCTGTTTCAGGAACAGATCTTAATCCCAAAGCGCCTTCAACACGGATGATCAGTTGTTTATGGTCTTTTTTCACTCTTATTCTTGTCTCATCATACACAGCAAATTTAGGTCAGTATAACGGCTGCTGATAATGATGTTCGCTCAGCTCAATCAAGACGATACATTAACAGTGTAAAAACATAAGAACGGTCCATTAACTATATCGTTTTTGATGATCTTATCTAACAACGCATCATCGATTTGTTCTGTTCTTTGCACCAATTTAATTTCCTTTTGGAATTTGAAATAGCAAGCAAGCATTTTCTTGTCGATGTTAACTTGAATGTAGAGATGTGCAGGATAGCTATCTTTAGCTATCATATTCCCTATCATAGTAGACATTGATGTGGACATTAGATAAAAAGCTGAAATAATCCCACTCTAAAATAAATGCGACTTAAGATCAAATTAAGTCGCACTAATGTGCCTTATTTACACAGAATTCACATTAAAAACCTCCAAGTTATGAATTTTTCTTTTTTCCAGTCTCATGTATCAGCGACTTCTGGCCAATAAAGTGTAAACGCTCTCGTTATCTCTCTTCCAAACTTGATTAATTTTCATCAAAATGTTCATCTATGTGTAAGACATCACCAATGTTTGTAAACAATAGTGCAAATTTATTTTAGTTGAGATATAAGATTCCCCCGAAGTTCTGATCTTTTTCATGTTGGATTTACTTTTTTCACCCTTTTCATCGCTTTTTTCATAAGATCGATTACGTATTCGGAATCAACTAGCCGAATTACATAAAAAACACTATTTTTTGTAAGAGAGTTGTTTTTCATTGAAATAACAACTATATAGAGATTTGATCAAAAAAATGCTTGTTGGAATCCAAATTACAGATGTCCATCTGATATAGGAAAAATGTCTACTGTGTCTTGTCCTATAAAAATTTTCGGATTCTAATCCTATTCTATCTCGATCATCACTACTTTAATTCTTTTTAGCGGCCTTTTTGACTGTTCAACGTATGCAAACACCGATTGAACATGCTGAAGATTTAGCAAGACAAACTGAAATTGCGTACGGCGTACAACGAGGTGGCTCAACAGAAAACTTTTTTCGAGTAAGCAATGAGTACTCTAACAAATATTTAACATGTATTAAAATTATTTTGACTTTCTCATTTGTTAAGGAATCGAAATTAGCCACATATGAACGTATGTGGACATTTATATCAGGAAACTATGAACGCGTAACTGTTCCTTCGAGCCTAGCGGGAATAGAAAAAGTGAAAAAAGAAAATTATGCATTTCTTATCGAGTAAATATTCTTATTATCAAAAATTAAATTTTAAAATAAATGGTTTGTTTGTTTCTATAGATCGACAACAAGTGAATATAATATCATGCGAGACTGTAATTTAACGTCAATTGGGGGTTTATTAGATAGCAAAGGTTTGCTACTTATGCTATCTATTTCTGGTATATAAAATATCCTTGTAATTTATTGCAGGATACGGTTTCGGTGTTCCACAAGGTAAATGTCATTATTTAAAATATGAAAATCGTCTAACTGTCAACTAGCATGATCAAAATAGAACCTAAAAATTATCGAGAACAACTAGCGTCATATTATAAAATACACTTTTCTGCATATGAACAAATTAAATATTCTGGTCGATCTGGCAATGAAAATTAAATGAGAAATCAACCACGGATGTAAAAGAGGGCGCCAAACAATGATGACTATCTATTTATGAAGTAGTCAAAAGTATGAGTGTAGAGAAAAAGGAAGGAAACGTTTTAAAAATAAGTCTCATACATGATTTTAAAGTAGAATTTTTCTACATAATATCTATTGTGAGAAAAGTGTCCTCAAAAACTCCTATTTTTTTTACTGTTAGTGCGTTACCGTTTAGGCTGTGTTATTTAGTTCATGTTATGACTAGGCGAAGCGAATTTGTTCCTCTCTTTCCACTGAAGTATCGCTAGCTTTTGATCCAGCGGTTTTTTAGATTTTTTTATCTTGCTTATTGACTGAGACAACAGTCCCGCACATCTGTGATCCTTCCGAAATTCAGTTGGTATTTTTTATCTAAAATCAGTTAAAAACGTTTTATTGGTCTAACTTAAGAGGAAAGGACACCAACTGTCTAATCGCTTTTAGGCTGAGACCCACTGGAAAACAGGTAATCGGGTGTGCTGAATCCGAATATGACAATGGTTTTTGTTGCTAAGTCTTGCTAGACTGAGTTTTCTAGAAAACCAGTTTTCCAGAAACTCTAGAGAATAACTAAAAGCTTTCTTAAAGAGGTGCAATTGTAGCCCGGAAATTTCTGATTAAAATGAGACATCTCCCAGCTCTACACGGCCTTTCTTTGCAAAGTTATAGAGTTTACAAGAAAAGCCCTAAAATCATTTTTCCTTTTT